TAGTCGTTGACTCATCAATAATTAGTAGATAGTTTCATTTTAACAACATCGAAAACGAATTAGATATAGTTTTATTTTAACAAAATTAAAAAAAAATTAATTTTGAAAAGTACATATCATTAAAAAAAATAAAATATTATAACGACAGATTTAGCTTTGTGGACATAAAGTAGTACACGGTGGGGACATATGTTAATGATGAACTAGTACAAAATTTAGAATAGTCCAATGCATCAAGTTATTATGTTTGGAAGTTTTTATAAATTGAAATTGTTACTTTTTAATACCTTTTATCTGAATTTTTAAGGTGTTTGTAATATATTAAATATTTTTAAAAAATTATAGAGTATATTATATTCTTATATTATATCAATGCATATACAAAATTTTACTTAATCTTATCAAATTTTATTATCTTTACACAAAAATTCAATTATGAGAAATTTACTTGAGTAAGTCTTTATAGTTTATATTGCTCTTTTTGCTGGTGAGACCATCCTTCAAAAAAAGTTTAGTCTTTTGCTTAAAGATTAACATTACATGGATATACAAAAGCAACTTAATTAACTAGAATGTTAAATTAAAAAGAATTATATGTTCAAAATGCATAAAACAACCATCAAAATTGTTAAAGCATCATGTTTGTATAGGAAGGTTGTTGAGTTTTCATTAATGAAATTTAAGTTCCTATTCAAATTGAGTACTGATCTCAAATAATATAAAATGCTCATAAATACTCAAATAATAAATTAATTAAAATTTAACTGCTTCATATTTAACTAATCCATATAACAAAAAAATATAAATACCCATTAATTAAATTCTATTAAAGCAACACTCAAGTGCAACTAAATTAAAAATTACAGACACATAAGGTACACTCATGTCCAATTGCCCTTTTCTTACTTCTTCTCCACTTTGACCAAACCCATTTGGTCAACTGCTGAAATCCCCAAAATAAAAACCCAACCATTTTTTTTTCTACTTAAGTAACCAACATGAGTCAAAATGAAATTGGGTAAGGGTTAGGAAATAAAATGATAAATTAGACAACAGCAAATTAAAAATAATTAAACCATAACAATGAACTCAAATCTTAATTTATTTAATCTTCTACTATAGTTGGTTCCTATCAACAGTATTCCAAAGTATTAATATTTTCTTCCCATATAAAACTTGAATAAAAATATATCAAATATAGGTGGAAGAAGAGAGAAAATCTTATAGCCTAAAATAACAATGTTAGTTAATCCATTAAATTTATCTAAATTTACATATTTTTAATGCTTAACTTTTAATATATGCACATTTTTTAAGTTAAATAATTAAAAATATGTAAATTTAAATAAATTTAATAGATTAATTGATAAAAAAAATTAAAAAAAATATATTTTTTATAATTAAATAATTAAAAAAATATAAAAAAAATAAAAAATAAAAATGATGTAAAATCTTAAGTTAGGAGACTAAAATTAATATTTAACAAAAGAAAAAAAAAGGCTGCGACTTTCAGGGCACCAGGAACCACGTGTTAGAGAGAGTCTAAATACTCGAAATGGTGGAGAATGAGCCACATCTTCTCCCGCCATGTACTAGAATTGAAATGCCGAACCAACCCTTCCCAGTTGCGTAAGTTTGGTTTAGCTCATCAGAGCTTTTGTTTTATAAATACTACTTGGTAAATTTAAATTTTTATTATAATAAATTTAAA